CCCGAGAATCAACTAAAACATAAAATAGATCTCGGAAATCAACTAGGGTGCTGGGTGGTGATCTACTTTTCCGCCAAAATCGACCTTTCCGTTTACCGCCAATACAAAAATATATATTTCCTTTTACTGCCACCACAAATTTCAGTTTCTATATTTTKGTAACCCCTTGGTAATGATTTTTAAAATAACAAAAATAATTAGGTAATCAATTTTTAATTAAATATATGATTTTACAAAAACACATTCAAGTGATTACTTAAAATTAAAATTATATAGAATATTGTATAATATATTACAAAAAAGTCAATATTACGACGTAAAATACAATATCACAGTCAAACATTTAATTATATTATTTATTTATTTCTTATAGTTATACTCTATTGATTACCTAATGTTATAAGTATCGTAAAATCTATAAAAGATCAAACCAGACAAGCGTTATCTTTATTGTCAGTTGTCGCATAAATTTCGAACATGATCTTATTAATAGAGAAAAAACATGATTTTGAACATATTATCTACGTGATAAATATACGTAGGTATATAATATAATATTTTAATACTTTCAATCATAATTTTAAATATCACTTGAATGTTTTTTGTAAAATCATATATTTAATTAAAAATTGAGTACCTAATTTTTTTGTTATTTTAAAAATAATTACCAAGGGGTTACTAAAATGTAGAAACTGAAATTTGTGATGRCGGTAAAAGGAAATATATATTTTTGTACTGGCGGTAAACGAAAAGGTTGATTTTGGCGGAAAACGGTGACGCTCATCAACTCACTTATCCCGCGATTTTCAACCCMAAAAAAAGTTATATCATTATATTTAACTGTACTTACGTTTTTTATGAGTTTTTTTTTTTTGAAAAATCACAAATATTGACCACGAGTGTTTATTTTGGATAGCTGTCGAAAAAATAAAATATTATCCCATATTATATTAGGATTTACAGACAAAAGTCAAACGTAAGTGTACGTATATAATAGGTACCTATATTAAAGCCGCATATATTAGCACAATGATTGCAGTTTTCAGCGTACACATTACATCTTACAGTGAATCTTTATTCTATACATTATACGCTGTGTGCAGGCATTTCACACTCGTCGAGAGCTTTTGGTTCGCCTTGACGTCTTTTACGCCACAAGGAGGAGGAGAAACGCCAAAAGCGATCAGCGGCCGCGTCTTGGTGGCCGCTTATTGGGTTTTCGTCGTCCTCATGTTGGCTACGTTCACTGCTAATTTGGCAGCATTTCTGACAGTGGAAAGGATGCAGGTGAGCTATATATTATTATTATGTTCCTCGGTTTTATATATACCCATTGGCGCAACTAGGGGGGTGCAAAAGGGTCTTTAGCACCCCCAAGTTCTAATTTAGCACCCCTTGATGTTTTAAATCTAACTATTATAATTATAATGAAATAACATCAATTTTATGTTTTTAATAGTATAGTTGCGCCTATGTATATATACCCATACGTAACACACTATAATAAATTGCATGATGTTTATATTTATTATATTATTTAACAATTTGTCCGTATTGCACTACCTACTGCATAATATATACAGACGCCAGTGCAGTCCTTACAACAATTAGCTCGACAGTCGAGGATCAATTATTCGGTGGTTGACGGTAGCGACGCCCATCATTTCTTTCGCAACATGAAAATGGCAGAAGACATTTTATACAAGCGAGTACCTATACTACCTATATGTTTACTGATTTCACATGTGTAATATTTATACAGCGTAAAAATAAAAAAACAAAGAAAAACAATAATTGATAAAAACCATGAAATACTTGAGGTTTTTGTACTGTGGTAATTCAGAAAAAAGTTCTTAGAGACTTGTATTCTTTACTACTCCGTTGTCCAGCAAGTATAACGTAACTCCATATATAGGCAYGCGTAAGCCTCTTTTTTAGGGTATGTAGAAAAGCTGCCACTGACACGCCCTAAAAGTTATTTTAAGCATGTAAAATTCTGATGATATTTTATATACACAATGCACAAATATTGAAATGCCTTAGGCCGGTTCTTACAATGTCCGGTAAAGTGTCTGTTAACTTTAACAGGAAATTATAAAAACGACYCTTAGTGTTTAATTAAAAAAATACCATGACAAAATACAAAAAATATATACTTCGCAAATACTTGGTACCTCATTGATAACTGATAACCATGGATGTTTCAACTTTAAATTTGCTATAGCTATTGTAATATCACCCGRCCATGGGTATGCCAATAAGTGGCATACCAATATTCTTATTGTGATTATATAAGTGAATCAAACCTAATCACTACCGTTAGTCTGATATCATTTCCCTGGTTTTTAATCATTTGTTATCATCATAAATATTTCAATATACGTACTAATTATTTTTCTTGCGCAAAAAAAAGTTTTTTTACAGGGTCGATTTTCGCCGCACAAAGAGCTTCAAGGCATACAGCTGCATACCCTGATACCCCCTGCGCATTCCTATGAGTAACTCTGATAATATTCTGAAGAAAGGGTTGAGATTTCCATAAATCCCTCAATCGTTAGATATTTTGCGAAATTCAATGCTTTARAACATTTTTAAATATGATGAATCCATGAAATATTTTATTGCTTTAAAATTTAAATCAACATTGTACCATTTGTACCTATAGCCTATAGGTATGTTATGTTGCATGCAATGTCTAGTAGATAAAGTCAATTTTTTTAATAATCTTTTCAAGTTCACCATTTTACACAAATAAGGCAATAGAGTACTAAACAGTGAACACTGTGTATACGAAAACTAAAATACAAATAACGATTAGAATTTTTAATACTATGGATCACAAGTCACAATGGTGTTGGACTTGAAACAGTTATAGATACCACGTACCTACCGACATACCTATAGGATGATTTCACCGTTGTAAAAAACAAATTAAATCTATTTATTTCGAGGCTAGACAAAACTTGTTTTTTATATCACTGGTAAACAGAAGTATACTGTATCTATTTGACATTTAGTAAAATACGTTTAGGTTAAAGTGCTTCAATTTCAAATAGAAAATAATATGTATCCAAGGCTTAGCTTAGGTCCTAAGCATTCTAGAAATCGACTAATTTAATTTCAATGCCTAGTAATATATTTATATATATTATAATATAGGCAGRTAGGTACTTATGGTACTGTATATAGTAATTAAGTATATAGACCACAAGAAAATTGTATGTTACACATGTATTATATTATTATTGCAGAATCYGGATAGGTATATTCTAAAAATAATTCTCACCGATGAGGCTATGATTTATGAGAAGGAACCAAGTAACTGAAGTAACCAACTYATTTTTTTTCAATAAGAAAATTTAATATTTTTAGTGTATGGAAAGAGATAGCATTAAATCAAACAAACAATCGAAAAGATTTTCGAGTTTGGGATTATCCGATAAAAGAAGAATTTGGACAAATATTAGCGGCAATAGAAAGAACTGGAACCGTTCCGAACAGATCTATCGGATATCAAATGGTGACCGTAGTCAAAAACTTTAATAATCTAAAATTAAATTAAATTCATTTAAATTAATTTAAACATTAATAGTTTACTATAAAATTGAACACTTATGATTTATAATACATCTACCATTTTATTATAATAGGTATTGGACAATGAGCAAGGTGAATTCGCTCTAATTCACGATTCGTCTGACATTGAGTATGAGGTTTATAATAACTGTAACCTGACCGAGGTAGGAGAAATATTTGCGGAAAGACCATATTCGATAGCTGTCCAGCAAGGAAGCCTCATACAAGAGGAAATTAGTAGAAAGTAATTTTAATGACACTTATTTGTATTGATAAYAAAATAATAGGACCTAACCACCAGACAATTTTCTAGGATATTGGATTTACAAAAGGATCGATTTTTCGAACTATTGAACGCCAAGTATTGGAATGCTTCCAAAGTGAACATGTGTCCGAATGCCGACGATAGTGAAGGCATCACATTAGAGAGTTTAGGTAATCACTATAATTTTTCAGTAGACTAATTGTAAAAGTWATAACTCTTAATAAAGACACAGACTATACTCCGTTTGTAATAAGGACCTTGGCAGCGACAGTTTTCGTCACCTTCACCTAGTCAAATGCCTGACGTATAATAGTTAAGACATGCCCCAGCGCACAAATCGACCACCGAGGTTCCTTGTTAACATGAACGAAGTATAGAGTCTGAGTGGTCCTAATAATGAGTAGGTAATAATAATTCCTGACATTAAATTAAATTTAATGTTTGATTGAATAATATACTATTTTATCTAACATACATAATAATATTGTAATATTAAAACAAGTAATTAAACTTATAGAATGTAAATCGTTCAATCGCGAATCTTATCAAACAAAACGTATTATAATTATAATACGTAGGTAGCCTAACAAAAATAAAGTTTTTCTCAAAATTTAAGTTAATAAATATTCCAACAAACTACATACTTACCTTAATTTTTAACTATATTATTATGTTTCTAGGCGGTGTTTTCATAGCTACATTAGTTGGCTTGTTGATAGCGTTGATAACACTTGCTTTCGAAGTTGTCTATTTTAAACACAAACGCGCCAAGGTAGCTGAAGTCGGTGTTGTTAATAATATCATTCACAAGGATAAGCTGATGTATGGCCACGAGTTATTCATGACGTTAGGCAGGAATTCAAATTCAGATGAACAAACACGTTGGGCAAATAAGATCAAACTAGATTCAACTACTGGCCGTCTAAACAATGCATTATTCTTTCGAAGGAACAAATTTCAAAACTAGAACTTCAGTTGTTTGATATAATGTTTTATAATATTTATAAATAATATAGTATGGATATAAATTGATTAACTAATACATTTCATAAATAAATTATTTTACATCATATATATATATATATATTATACAAATGCACTAATTAAACATAACACCAAGAAAAAACGGCGAATTTCAAATATAATCATAATAAAATCAAAAAATAATATAATAAATATAATAACAACAGATATTTCTATGACTGTGTATACATCATTAAAAATTATAACTGTAACATAACAATCGTGCAGTATAATGAACAAAACKATAAGTAATCATATGGTAATTCAAGTAATTGTATTGGTGTTAATCCCACATTGACCCCTACCAATTACCTAAAAATAAAAACAAAATATAAGATAATTAGAGATTCAAATTTAATTTTTAATAACCTAATATATTTTTAGTACTTATGTAGAATTGTATTATACTATTATACTTGTTTAGGTTTATTTTTAAAATAATATAACCCAACATTTTGTTACAGAACTCGACTAACACGATGACTTATTATTTTATTAATACTGTTTAGTTTATTAAATAAATTTTTTAATTTCACTGGGAATCAAATATAAAACAAACAGGAAAAAAAAGTATTTAAAAGTTATTAATATTCATTGTTTAAAATTTGTCAATTATCAATACTACAGTAGTCGCACTTTAACATTACTATAGAAAGGTTTTCTAAAAATAAATTTACATTTAACAATGAATAGTACACATTTCATTTCCAAATAATAGCTATTGTTTAAGTATTTTATAAAATGATATAGGTACTTGAAAAGTTTTAAATTAAAATTGACATTTTTGTCACTGAGGTATTATAGTGAAAATAAAAAAAAAATTTAATAAAATAATTCTCAAAGATATAATACATTGGGACAAAAATAACCYGAATTAATATGATGCATGGGAATTACTGAATTYTCTCATATGTCCAGCACAATAAGATCTTGTAATAACAGTCAAATGTTTTCGTGATGATTACACTGTTATTTAAATCACAAATCACTTACATTTAATGAATATAACGCATACTGTAAGWAACATAATGATATAATACATCACACAGTAAAAATAATGCRTAAATAGAATAAAATTGTAAAACTAGAAAATGCAATGTCTCATGAAAAAAGATGCACCGATTAGTTTAATTAAATTTATTGGGATTCAGTTATCACAAGCATACTATAAATTATGAAACAAAACAATTTTAACTGATATTGTTAATAGATAATTAACAGTAATATATTTAGAGCAATTATACTCTCTTATTCCAAATAAAAGTAGTAAAATAATTGACGTATTAATTATTATTTATCAATGGAAAAATATTTTTGTACAATATTATAATAGAATAATACAATAATTATTTATTTAAGAAAATATATTATCATTTTAAAATTAATATAAGAAATAATGTAATATGTAAATGAACAATAATGAAATATTTTTTATTTTTTACACTTCATAGATTAAAACATAAAAATCAATAACTTTCTTTAATTATTTTAAAGAAAACTTAACTAATTAGTACAATAAAAGGTACTGAAAATAATATGTTTACCATTTTTGTATGTGCTAACTGAGCAAATTGCGAATTTCCTTATGCATGTGACACAAAAATTCTACATAGGATGGACTATTGTCGATGCCATGATCTTCGACTAAGAAATGTCTCATAACAGTTTCAATTTTATCTTTTTGTCGTATAATTGAAAGCTATAAATAAAATATAGCATTTAACATATATGATATAAATCAGATTAATATTTTGCTACAGAAGTAAACATACTCTCATTGTATGCCTTCGTTCTTTTTGAATTTTAGATAGCACCTGACGAATAGCTTTATTGAGTGGATTATCCAACACAGGAATAGCAGAATGTTCRRTATTAACATATGCTATGTTCTGAACACCAAACACGTCTGATAAAAATGTTTGACTTAGACCCATACCAAGCCACAAAAACATATATACSCCATTTTCTATAAACAAAAATATTRTTAAAAAAATAAAAAACCTAGTGTATTTATTTTGATGAAAAAAAAAAATKATTAGGTTACCTAAAATATAAGCTCCATTCTCCGCAAACTTTTCAATAGAACACCTCAACTGATCTGGTATTGGAACATCATCCAAGATTTTTTCATCAGCAAGTGTATGAATAGGAATCAGACGTGGATAGAAATAACCCAATGTAGTAGGAATGTCCGCAGTTATAACCAGATGCATGTTAAACCAACGATCATCAACTGTCAGATCAGGACCTACATAAAAAAAATAACATACATTTTAATTTCTATCATAGGTAAATAAAATAAATAGCATACCACCAGACATTGCATCACTTTTAATTAAACAATTAACATATAGAGGCATAAGTTTCATGCATTCGGGCAATATAAGTTGACCAGCTGAAGATGGTGAAGCACAATGTTTTCTATAAGTAGCTAGTATTTGAGCAGTCTTATTAGTAATTGCTTCCTTTACTTGTCGTCCAGAACTTTCCAAAATTTTATACATAACTAAATAAAATCAAAATACAAATTAAAAATTCAATCTGTACTATAAAAACAAACACAACATACCTTGTTTTCCAAAGAAATTCATTATTGTATCTAAGTCACAACTACGATATAATTCACCCATTTGTCCACTAGAACGTAATGATAGATTTAATATACGGACACGCCTTTGTCCACTACATGACGTGTATAACATGGCTGTTTGTACTAATACTCCATCTTGTTCATCTAGCTTATCATCATGTTTTACTTCAATTGCAATAGCCTGGAAATACATGGTTTAATACAATTAATAATGTGTTAAATGGCAAAACCAACGATATAACATATGACAWAAAGTTCACTGATTTGGATTGACTAAAAATCCAGAGGAATAGTGTTGTGTATTATTATTTGTTACATATTATAAATTTAAAAGTATCGAATAATTACTTTGAAGGTTTCTTTAAGGGGTCAGTGATGTAAAACATAAAGCCAAAGTGTTGCTCACTTTTAAACATGGATAAATAGGTAATGGGTATTGATACAACTATTTAAGATAAATATGACATTTTATCACTATATATTTAAAATATGTGTAGTATAAAAGAAAAATACATTTAAGTACAACAATTTTTTTTTTTAATTTAGTGAAAGTAGATCACATTCTAGATGCACATTTTGAGATTAGGTACCTAAATATTAATAAGTAATAACTCATCAAAAAATATTATATTTAATAAAAAATTGTTTTTTTTAAACTTACTTTATCACAATCAATAGCAGCCAACTCAACATCGGTAGAATTCGACATAAAAAAATGTCCATAGAAATCAGTGGGACGAGTACCAGTAGATGTTCGTACTCGCATTACAGCATCAAAGACAGTTGGTCGACTAATGTCATGTTTCAAATCAGACAAGAATCGTTGACCATCAACTTCAGCCTATAAATGTTGAAATATTAATTGCATTATGATAAAATTACAGTAAAATTATAGTATGAACATATTATAATTAATTAATAACAAAACATTAAATCTAAACAACTTACTTGGAAATATGTGTATTTGAAAATTTCACCCCCACTAATTTTAGAAATTTGACCGATTGTAGGCAAATCTATATAAGAATTATTAGTGATGAATAGATCAACACTACACCCGACTTGAACGCACTCTTCTCCTAATTCTTTATACACATTTGTTTGCGGGTCTGTTTACAGATACATTTATGAGTATTTTATCAGAAAAATTTAAAAATTATTCAAGATTTATCTTACTCAAAATAGTTTTTTCCTTATCTGTGGCAAGTAATTTTCGATCTTCRCGATTTTTAAGTTTACCTGGAGCTTCTGCTATTGGTAAGGATGAATGAAATACAAATAATTTACCACAACAATCAGCATTCTAAAGAAACAATGTTTTGAAAATAAATAATTAAAAATTGCTAAAAGCCCTGATAGAAAAAGAACATTACATATAAACATTGTTATTCAATTATCTTAAGAATAGATCTTACAGTATTGCAAAACGAAATATACCTTCAATGCTTCCATTCCTGCTTTTATTGCTGGTAGAAGAATAGTTTCAGTTATCCTTGTTTCATTGAACAGAGTGGGAATTTGTTCCATAAGTACATCAATAACTTGAGAAGATTGTTCTGGATCGCATAAGAACCCATCTAACAATGGCATAAACACTTCTGAAGTGTCACCAACAATCATCATTTGAGGAACAGCTAATGTTTCCTAAAATATATTTTATTATTTTCATTACTAATTTAGTTGTGGAGACAATATTCCGYAWCATTTAAACACAATTGACAATACTAATGGTTTTATGAGGTTTTAATTTGACAGATTTTAAATTAACCATCAGTCTGGTAGATTTACTTTATACTAAACAAATGGTTGGTCACGAGGTCCATAGGTTATGTAATATCATATATTTAACAAATGGCTTGRTAAAATTATAGCTTAATATATATCTGCTACAAATTTAGTGCATTTATAGWAGATATGTAAAATAAAAAGCTAAAAAGTTGATAGTGGTCAATGGTTCACAAAAATAAACCATGAGTATTTAAATTTTAAAGCAAGATATGAGCATTTGTAAATAATAAAATTGTACAATCTAAATTTAGTTTAAGTATATAATTATGTTTCTTACCTTTATATTATAAAAATGGACAGTTGTATCATAAGTTATAAAACCAACACGTATTTTACTTTTTTTATTTCCCAATTCAGTTGGTAATTGAGTTAATAACTCTTTCATGAAAGCACATAAGAGTCGAACAAGTCCAGATTTTATATTATTATAAGAAACATCTATAACAAATATATATGCAGGAGGTTTTGGTTGCATTTCTTTCTGGAAAATATAAATAAATATATTATATTAAATTTAACTTCTATAGTCTACTGATCAAAACTAATACAGTGAACCTCCTTTAACGGACACCTCCAAATAACGGATAGAATTTTGGGAACAGTGAAATGTGTACTCAATGTATTTCCCCTCTTATAAGCGGACAACATTTAAGCGACTGAGAGTGTCCAGTATTTAGAGGTTTCACTGTATATTATATATTTATTTATTAAAAAAGCAAATACTATATCTGAAACAGTTACCCATAGTTATCATTATTAGATTAGGCAATGAAAATAATAATAAGCAAACTAATTTATTTTTCACACAATATCAATGAAGCAAATAGTTAGAGAAAGTAATTAAAGTAGTCAAAAGAACATCTTTAATATGCAGTACTGGAACTTTGAAATCAACTAACACAGGATGGCTAACAGACTCCTTAAAAAATAAAACAAAGTAAACAGTTCATATGCAGCGATGCTCAGATTGAATAACTRATAAATAGATAGTATGTATCTCTCATTTTACTATATACTTGAATAAACAATCCTGCTTTTAATCAGAATCTATACTGGTGTATAGTTTTAAGTTATAAGTAATAGGACTTTTTAATCTTGCAAAGTTTTCACTATCACTTATTCTAAACACATTCAACGCTGCTGACCTGATTGTGTGTCATTACAAGTTGTTCACTTATATCAGTAAYGCATTTACGAGTCATATCAACTCTGTTTCAATTCATCATAACAGAACTTATTTAGTAGATCAGAAGCCATGGTTTTATTTTATCATAAGCTTTTATTATTACATAAATAAAATATACCATATTAAAAATAATAGAATTACCKATGTGAGCTAATTTTATGTTTGGGAAGAATTACTATAGCCAATGTACATGTATTGYTCCATCATGAAATTTAAGGGAATKATTGTGAATAAACATAAAATAAATAAATCATGGTTAATTAGGTTAWGTATTTCAGTTGCAATTAAACGTGGGATTTTTTGTTAAGACTTGCCGTGACACATTGACTTTATATATTATGCAATCAGCAATGACRCATTAATGTGTCACAGACATGAAAGGTGTTAGAAAAAATATCGCTTATATCTACAAGTTCTAGAAAATTAAAATATTTTATTTTAAGTTTAGATATTTAATTTGTCTTATAATTTAAAAGTTTTTTGTTATACATACCCTACAATATTCTTTTGGGACAATAAATTCATATGATCCAAAACATAATTCAGGCCTTTCAGAGCGGTCAAGTCGTTGACCAGTATGATCCAAATGTTGGAAATATTCAACCGGAACTATAAAAGATGTATTTTGTTAAAAATGTATTATWAATTTATGAAMACAAAAAAATTACCTTCAGTTGTAGCTTTACATAAAAGGCAAGTAAAATGTTTTCCGCCATCAATGAACTGCATAAATGGACTCATGTAAGCTTTACACCTCTTACATCTAACTGGTCCAATTTCTCCAGTATTTATAATAGGTAGAGGATATTCATCTGGTTTTATTTTTGCTAATGGACTTATAACTAATCCAAAAGGTACAGATGTCTGCAAATATTTTAAAAGCAGTTATTTATATCAATTATTTAAAACTAAAATAAAAATGTATTCACCTGTTTCATAATATCCGTTGTAGTAGGTACACAATACATAGTTGATCTTATTAATCTAGGTGATGCATTACCAGAATCTTGCACAGTAAAATCTGTAGTAACTAAAGGAGGTACTAAACCTCTTTGATTAGTTAAAAATAAACCACTTTTACTCTGCTGGTCGTCTTGTATAACTTGTACCTGAAAAAAATAAAATTGTRTCATTATTATCTTTGATTATCTAACAAATTTAATATGGTTTAATACTTACTGGACTTGGCATTTGGTCAGGATCTAATCTCCTACTTGGAGCTGGCTGACCCATATAAGCTGGTGTACCTT